CACTACAATACATTTGTAAACATTTATGTGTAAAAAATCAATTATCACATCAAAAAATCTTCATAAATTTGATTGTATATCGAAAAACAATAACAAGAAATAGGTATACAATAAATAAAAAGATGAATACCAATGAAATTTCAACTTTAAGTAAAAACAAATTCTATTAGTCATTTTTTAGTATAGTATATTACATATATTTGCATAAATTTATACAATTATTAATTTATGTTTTTGTTGGGACCATTATTTACATAAGGATTTAAAAAGAAATTGTTATCTTATTATCTTATTGAATTTGATGGATTTTTACATTGACCCGATTTGGGACCAATAAAATTTATTATTTTATAGTAATTATTAATTTATAGAGTATTAATTTATAGAGGTTTTACTGTATCATTTTTGGTAATGTGGTTTGTTATTCAAGAGCCTAATATTCATTCAATTAATTTAAAGGAACCGAATCTCAAAGAAGCTTATTACATCTATAATCTCTTTAATACATTCTTTGATCTATGCTGTTAAAACTGGCTATAAACTATGCAAATGCAACCCTATTCCTTTTATTTTTGTGAAGTTGATCACTTTACTCAGTTATGGCCCGTGGGATATGGAAAGTCAAAGTTAGTAAGCCATCATTTAGTCGAAATTTAATGAAAGAAAACCTAAATCATGGTTGTGTTTGTACACTTAAATTGGATCAAGACATCAAAAAGGATTAAGAGGAAAGAACAATGTAACTAAATGCCCACAACTCCTCAATATTTACTTCTTATTGAACTTTGTTTTAAGCAGATAAAAAGAACCATGACAGAGTTATGCAACTTCTTGTGCCAATCTCATACCTTTAAAAGGAAATTCCTGAGAAATTGAAAGCTTGCAACTTTGAAACAAAATATTCTCCATTACTTGTCAAGAAGCTCATGCTTACTTTCGTTGCAACACAACTTCAAAGGCATTAACAAAATCACATTGAGGAAATGTCATTAAATGAAAACCCAAACACATTTACTTCTCCAAAATCTAAAAATCAATCTATTAGTCTAGTCATAGATGAAGAAACTAACTACAATAAGAAGAGCTCTAGTCCTTAAAAATGTAATCAGATATGGTTTGTCTTCATCAATTTCCACAAAGTAGAGTCCCAAGCATTGCAATGCGAAGATGAAACAGCCCACTGTTCACAAGGAGCAGGCTTATCGCAGACATAACAGTAACACTGCATTGTCCGAGCGATAAATCATCAAAACAAAGTTAATCCTTTTCATACTTTTTTGATACTTTACTAAAAACCCACAAAGAAGACATGGATATAAATTACCAGATGACAATGGGTTGGATTAGGAGTAGATCCAAAGGGAAAAATTCAAGCAAAGATGTCTTGGATGTGGGTAATCTCTACAAGCTACCTGCTCATGAGATTTAATTCCATGTGAAAAATTAAAAATTAAGAAAACGAGAAAGACTAATAAAGGAAAGAAGAAAAACTTAAACCTGGCCTGTTTCATGGATAATGGCTAAATCTTTATCTCCCTCGTTATCATCACCGGAAAAGGAGAGCCTTTTAGCGTCGAAGAAATCAAAAGGATCGAAATCGAGAATGAAACAGTCCTCTGTTTCCTCGATTCTCTTCATGTCTTGTCTGGTTTTCAGACATAATATGCCTCTGAGATGAGTGCCTTCTTCATCCTCCGACTCCATTTTCTCCTCGCAAAGTCCCAACTCGCAAAGATCGAAAGGGAAGAGTGAGAGACCGAACGTTGCGCTTCCACTTCCTCTGCCACTTTGAGAGAAAAAAAAAAGCTATTTACGAAGAAACTCAAGTTAGAAGGAGCAAAATTTGCAATTAACAAGGCTTTTTATGTTTTTGCTATATGGGCCTATCTTTTTTTTGGGCAAATCAGATATATTCATATCATAACGAATTTACAAGATACAAAAACATTCTCAATACAACCGTTTACACAAATATAAGAAATTAAAACAATTTTGATTAAAAGGTGGAGATGAAATCTGTTGTGTCTCTCCTTCATACACTTTTTATTGGCTATCATCTTACTGATAAAACTCCAAAATACACTTAACATTACATTTAAGTAACATTAAAATTATATTAGATATTGTTGTTGATGAATCTGAAACTTGTATCCTCGTTTAAATCAAAATACTTGATAATTCCTGGCAAAGATTCTTCGCGTTCTCCGTTAATGAGATTTGCCCATAACCATTTTCTTCTCAGCAAATCATCTTTAACACTGGAAACGTTTTTTCCAGGATCTCACACCCATGCTTGAAATCTCCTTCTCAATTTGGAGTGATTCAAATTAGAGTTATGGACTTTTCGGTGATGAAATCGGAATGTTTCAAAGATGAAACAACGAAAACCAATCAGAGTAATTCTGACTGGACTAAAGCCAACACAAATATTCCAGAGTCTTAGTCGGATTATGGTTGGAAAGAGATTCTCTTGAAAAAGAGAAAAAGAATGAGGTTTTATTTGAGAAATAAATGACGTTTGGAGCCGACGTCAGCTGGTGGGTGTGCCAAGATAGAAAAAACGGTAGTTATCGCCTGTTGAATCACTTCTATGGGGAAGAGAGACGAAGTCCTTTTTTTCACATAGAGTGCCTCAAAACTTAATGAGCCAAGCCTTTTGCCGCAACAAACGATATTAGTAAAATGTTTTGACTTAAAAAATTTACAGTCTCTTAAATCAGTGGCGGAGGTAGCATGTAACCAGGATGGTCAATTGACCCATGTAAAATTTTCAAAAATAATTGAATTTTTGTTATCTTTTTTTATTTGATCCCATGTCTAAAAACGTGAATTAATCCCTTTGACCCTTGTAAATGTTTGTCCTGCCTCCGGTCTCAAATTCAAGCTAACTTAGATGCACTTAAAAAATCTCGATCGAGGTTTATTTAGCATAGTAACCCAAAAATTGTGTTGTATACGAAGTAAGATAATAGCTTATTGCATGCGTACGTTATCGTTTACATTTTTTTATCTTCAACCAAGAAATACGACGACGTCCATCAAAAATTGCATTTGTCCAAATTTGTCACCAGAAGAAGCACGGTTACAAAACGTGAGTTTTGGATGACTTGAAAGATAATATAGAAGACGTTATGTCCTTTAGCTGCAGTAAGAAACTGAGAATCCAAACAAGTGTTGTCGAGCATTTTAGGGTTCGCCACTTGTCGAAATGGGTTCTCTTTCTGCGGACAGGTGGTTTTGCCGTTTTGGTCTCCGGTTATTTCTTTGTTTTCTCTCTTTTAATATCTGCATGTTGCCATCTTTGATCCCGTGTCGCTGTTTCTATGGCGATTTTTTTTTTTTTATAAAAACAAATATACAAGGGCCACTTCATGCGATAGTAGCCTGTATATTTTGTTATAGAAATATATTGTTGAGCAAAATGAAAATATCTTAATAGATGGAAATATGTAGATATCAAAGCTATTTTACACATAATTTGTTTCGTTTATTATCTGATCACTAATACATTTGATTTTCTAAGGGCCACTTCATGCGATCTCTTTTTCATAATTTTTTTTTCAGCCAAAATGTCTCGAAGGCTTAAGTTGCTTACTGGGGTCTCCTATTTTCCTATAAATAAATCTCTCAACTTCTTCACTTCTCATCCATCACAAAAACTTCCACAGTTCCACAGAGAGAAACCAAAAAGTTCAATAACATTAATACTCAAGAGAGAATGGGAACAATGGCTGAGAAGCAGATAACTCCGGTGCAAGTTACCGACGACGACGAAGCTGCCCTCTTCGCCATGCAGCTAGCCCATGCCCCTGTTCTTCCGATGGCTTTGAAACCGGTTATAGAGCTCGGAATTCTCGAGATCATGGCCAAGAACTCTTCTCCCATGTCTCCCTCTGAGATCGCTTCCCATCTCCCGACCAAAAACCCTGAAGCTCCGGTCATGCTCGACCGTATCCTCCGGCTTCTTGCGGCTTACTCCATCCTCACCTGCTCCCTCCGTACACTCCCTGACGGCGACGGCGTTGAACGGCTTTACGGGCTCGGTCCCGTTTGCAAGTATTTGACCAAGAACGAAGACGGCGTCTCCATCGCTGCTCTTTGTCTTGTGAACCAAGACAAGGTCGGCATGGAAAGCTGGTAAATAAAAAAAGATTTTAAACAATTACTATTTTCGCATGAATATTATTAGAAAAAAATAAGTAAATTGAAGAAGAATGAAATAATGTATAGAAAGAATGACAGTATAATTTTCTTTTAAAAAGAAGAATGACAAAAAAAAAAACATTTAAGAGTCCTAGACACATTTGTTTTTGTTTTGGGCTCACTACCAAATATATATATATGAGTTGTGCAGGTACCATATGACAGATGCAATTCTTGAAGGTGGGATCCCATTCAACAAGGCTTATGGAATGAGCTGTTTCGAGTACCTTGAGACTGACACTAGATTCAGCAAGGTCTTCAACAACGGAATGGCTAACCTATCAAGCATCACAATGAAGAAGATTCTTGAGACTTATAAGGGTTTCGAGGGCTTGACTTCTTTGGTTGATGTTGGTGGTGGCATTGGTGCCACTCTCAATATGATTGTGTCCAAGTACCCAAACATTAAAGGCATCAACTTTGATCAGCCACATGTTATCGAAGATGCTCCTCCTTATCCCGGTAGTATATTAGACTTTTTATGCCATTTATTCAGATCAAAACTTTTTAGATTTGATTGAGAGATTGGCTTATATTTAGTAATGCAGGCATTGAGCATGTTGGAGGAGATATGTTTGTAAATGTCCCCAAGGGAGATGCCATTTTCATGAAGGTTAGTAAACTTTAAACTAACTTTGATATATTTTTTTAGCCGGATCATCTGGACCGAAATCAAACTAATCAGTAAATCTTTTTTTTTTACTTGTTGTGGCAGGGAATATGCCATAATTGGAGCGAGGAACACTGTGTGAAACTCTTGAAGAATTGCCACAAGGCCCTTCCAGATAAGGGAAAAGTGATATTAGCAGAATGTATAGCTCCAGATATCCCAGACTCAAGTCTCCTGACTAAACATGTCGTCCATATAGACTGTATTATGTTGGCTTACATCCTCGGAGGCAAAGAACGGACCAAGAAAGAATTAGAGGCACTAGCTAGAGAGTCTGGTTTCCAAGGGATCCAAGTTTTCTGCCAAGCCTTTGGTGTTTACATCGTGGAGTTTCTCAAGCAGATCTGAAGTTAAATTCCCTCTTAATGCTAAATACTTATGCCTCTTTGTCTACTTCTACTTCGTGACCTTTTGACTATGATATGTTTGTTGCTTATTAAATATTTAATGAAAGGGAAAAAAAACTCATTTCTCTGTTTATATCTCGTGCTGATACAATTAAAGATTGCATTGTCCTTTGACCAAAAAAAGGAGACTACAAGTATGATCAATAGGGACCATGGGTCCAAAAAATGTATGACTCGATCATGGTACGTAGCACATTTGGGACTGAAAATCCCAATGGGTTAACACCTTTGGATTCCAAAATGTTCGCCAAGGTCTATATAAACCAATAGACTAGCCCGCACTGAGAAGATGAGTGTTTGAGAGAGTGATCATGACTGTGACCATGAGATTTTGATAGAGAAATATTTTTCACCAGACGAATAATGAAAGTCTAAGCAAATGCATTATTAACTGTTAAAAGCATTTCTATCAATGTAATCCAACATGGAATCCTTAGCAATTCTTTAATAATATTTTTGAGAAGTTAAGAATAGTGAAGAGACTTATGTTTTTTTTGCCTCCATTAATAGCAATATTTTAGTGAACTCTTATTTGAGTTTATTAAAAAAATATATATTATTTGTTGAAGAAGCAAATAAAAGAGAGACGTGTGAGTGAGAGTTAGGGCTGGAATTATTATCCGGTATCCGGTATCCGATCCGGTATCCGGTCCTATCTGATCCGTAAAAATTGGATATTCGTGTAGTTCGAATCCGGATCCGGATAGTGAAATTAAGTATTCGGTTATTTCGGATACGGATCCGGATAATAGAAAATTTTAAAATCGGATATCCGTTATCCGTTATCCGTTTATTAAGATTTTGAAAATTTTGAAATCTTTGGATATGCATTTAATTTTTTGTTTTAATTATGTTTGAAAATTGTTTTTGGTTTAACTCTATTACACATGATTGAAATTTATATTGCATAATAATTTTCTATTTCAGATTGTGAGAAAAGACCATGAAAATAGTTAACACAAGGATATGAAGATAAATTAACTTCTATTACTATTTTCTCCTTTGCTATGTAAACTTTTAAACTTTGTATTATTTGAATGCTACTTGAATGCTTTTAAATTTTTGGTATTTGTAATTTTTGCTATAATAATACATTTTAATTATATATGTTATCTCATTATAATTTTAAAAATTGAAGTTTTTTTTTTAAATCAACGAAACCGGATATCCGGTCGGATATCAGTAAATCTTCGGTTCAAACCGGATATTCGGTCTTAGTTTTCGGATCCGAATCCGGATAATAAAATTGATTATCCGTTAAATCCGGAGCCGGATCCGGATACTTTGAAAAGTCTGGATATCCGGCTCCGTTCCAACCCTAATGAGAGTAAGAGCAAATAATATTAAATTAAAATTAATTCAATCATAAAAATAATTATTCCCAATCGACACTTGTCCTAAGAGACAGCTTCTTCAGCTACTTATTTAAGGAGCGATCTATAGAAAACATGAATTTTTTATTTATTTTTAATTCAATTCATCTATGAAACTGTGCCAAAAAA